ACACTGTTTGGTATGCGTTGTCTGTGACTGTTTGTCACGTTAGTGTCTAGCGCACTGTTTTGTATGTGTTCTGTGTACTTTCTTTATTACGTTAGTGCCTTGCGCACTGTTTTGTATGTTTTTTGGTTGACTGTTTGTCACGTTAGTGGCGTGCGCAATTTTGTTATGTGTTCTGTTGGATTGTTTGTTACGTTAGTGCCTCGGCACTGTTTTGAATGTTTTCTGCAAGATTTTTTCGCGTTAGTGTTTTGCACACTGTTTTGAATGTGTTCTGTCGAATCTTTTATCACGTTAGTGCCTCAGGAGGTGTTTTATATCTGTTTTGCTGACGGTTTGTTACCTTTCGGGTGTCGCACACTGTTTTTGATGTGTTCTGTTGACTTTTTGCTACGCTAGTGTCTTGCGCACTGTTTGGTATGCGTTTTCTTGACAGTTTGTCACGTTAGTGTCTTGCACACTGTTTTATATGTTTTTTGTTGACTGTTTGTCACGTTAGTGCCTTGCGCACTGTCTTGTGTGTGTTGTGTTTGATTGCTTAGTATGTTAGTGCCTCGTGCATTGGTTTGAATGTGTTCTGTAAGATTTTTTGCTACGTTAGTGTTTTGCGCACTCTCTCCAATGTATTCTGTTGGATTGTTTGTGACTTTAGTGCCATTGTTTTGTATGTGTTCTGTTTGATTTATTCTGACGTTAGTGTTTTGCGCACTGTTTTGAATGTGTTTTGTTTGATTGTTTATCACGTTGGTGCCTCGCACAATGTTTTGTATGTACTCTCTTGACTGGTTTTTTTGTGTTTGGGTGTCGGGCACTGTTTTTTATGTGTTCTGTTGACTTTTTTCACGTTAGTGTCTCGTGCACTGTTTGGTATGAGTTTTCTTGACAGTTTGTGACGTCAGTTTCTCGGGCACTTATGTGTTTTGTTGACAGTTCGTCACGTTAGTGCCTCTCTCTCTGTTTTGTATGTGTTCGGTTTGATTGTTTCGTTCGTTAGTGTCTGACGCACTGTTTTGGCTGTGTTCTTTATGATTTTTTGTCACGTTAGTGTTTTTCGCACTGTTTTGAATGTTTTCTGTTGGAGTGTTCATCACGTTAGTGCCTCACACAATGTCTTGTATGTGTTCTGTTGACGGTTTGTTACGTTCGGGTATCGCACACTGGTTTTTATGTGTTCTGTTGACTTTTTGTCACGCAAGTGTCTCGCGCACTGATTTGTATGAGTTTTTTTTGACTATTTGTCACGTTAGTCCCCTGTGCACTGTTTTGTATGTGTTTTGTTCGATTGTTTGGTTTGTTAGTGCCTTGCGCACTGTTTTGACAATGTTCTTTAAGGTTTTTTGTTAAGTTAGTGTTTTGTGCACCGTTTTGAATGTGTTCTGTCGACTGTTACGTTCGAGTGTCGCGCACTGTTTTTTATGTGTTCCGTTCCCTTTTTGTCGCTCTAATTTCTCCCGCACCGTTTGGTATGAGTTTTCTTTGCAGTTTGTTACGTTAAGGTCTTGCCTACTGTTTTGCATGTGTTCTGTTGCCTGCTTGTGACGTTAGTGCCTTGCTCAGTGTTTTGTATGTGTTCTGTTTAATTGTTTGGCACGTTAGTGCTTTGCGCACTGTTTTAAGTGTGCTCTGTAAGAATTTTACTTTCGTTAGTTTTTTGCGCACCGTTTTGAATGTGTTCTGTTTGATTGCTTGGTACGTTAGTGCTTCGCCCACTGTTTTAATATGTTCTCTAAGTTTTTTTGTTACGTCAGTGTTTCGTGCACTGTTTTAAACGTGTTGCGTAGGATTGTATAGGGCAGTGTTTTGTATGTGTTCTGTTGACTGTTTGTTACGTTAGAGTTTCGTGCTGTGTTTTTTATGTGTTCTGTTGCCTTTTTGTCACTCTAGTGTCTCGCGCAGTGTTTGGTATGAGTTTTCTTGAAAGTTTGCGCAAGTGTCTCGCGCACTGATTTTTATGTGTTTCGTTGACTGTTTGTGACGTTGGTGCCTTGTGCACTATTTTGGATGTGTTCTGTTTGATTTTTTGGTACGTTAGTGCCTCGCGCGCTGTTTTGAGTGTGTTTTCTACGATTTGTGTTACGTTAGTGTTTTGCGCACTGTTTTGAACGTGTTCCGTTGGATTGTTTGTCACGTTAATGCGTCGGGCACTCTTTTGCACGTGTTCTGTTGACTGTTTGTTGCTTACTATTTTCTTGTGTTCTGTTGCCTTTTTGTCACTCTAATTTCTCGCACACTGTTTAGTATGGGTTTACTTGACGGTTTGTTGCATTAGGGTCTCGCGCAGTGTTTTGTATTTGTATTGATGACTGTTTGTGAAGTTAGTGCCTTGCGCAGTGTTTTGTATGTGTTCTGTTTTATTTTTTGGTACCTTAGTGCCTTTTGCACTGTTTTCAGTGTGTTTTGTAAGATTTTTACTTACGTTAGTGTCTTGTGCACCGTTTTGAAAGTGTTCTCTATGATTGTGCGGTACGTTAGTGTTTCGAGCACTGTTTTGAATGTGTTGTGTACGATTTTTTGTTACGTTAGTGTTTTTTGCACTGTTTTGAATGTGTTGTGTCGGATTGTTTGTCTCGTTAGCTCCTCGCGCACTGTTTTTCATGTGTTCTGTTGGATTGTATGTCACTTCAGTGCCTCGCGCACTGTTTGTATGTGTTCTGTATAATTGTTTGGTACGTTAGTGCCTCGCGCATTGTTTTGAATGTGTACGGTAAGATTTTTACCTACGTTAGTGTTTTGCGCACCGTTTTGAAAGTGTTCTGTTTGATTGTTTGGTAGGTTAGTGCTTTGCGCAATGTTCTGAATGTGTTGTGTACGATTTTTTGTTACGTTGGTGTCTTGCGCACTGTTTTGAATGTGTTGCACTGTTTTCTATGTGTTCTGTTTGATTGTTTGATACGTTAGTTCGTTGCGCACGTTTTTGAATGTGTTCTGTAAGATTTGTTGTCACGTTAGTGTATTGCGCA